ATCGTACTTGTACTTCTTCTGCATCCTTGAAGTATTTCTTTCTTGTAATGACATTTCCGTTCTCACACACCCAAGCAGCGTCTCCAGAATAAATAAAAAACAGGCACAAGTACAGACCGAGAGTAAGCCGACTGAAGCGCAAGAATGTTAAATGCAGTGCACTAACGAGAAGCAAATTCGCCTCCCTCTTATCCATGCAAAATATATAGCCGGCACTCTGCCTACCAGCTGCTATCACGAGCTCTCGTCACACCTTGTCGTCGCTGCAGGATCATTTTCCGCTCCAGCATGTTGTTATTTCTCAGTCTTAGTCTGGGGGTACTGTACTAGTCGCTGTTGAAGAGACAGCGACGCTGCAGCACAAAGCACCTTTCAGTTAGTACATCAGCCGATCAATTAAAAAGAAACTACTCAACGAAACTAAATCCTCACGCAAAATATAATGCAAGTCAGCTCACCCTCACGTCGCTGCAATGCAGCAGTACTACGCTGCGCTTCGCTCTTGCTTGATGCGAGGTCGCTCCGAGTCCCGGTAACTGGAGCGAGCGGTGCCGTATTTGTTCTTCTTGTTCGTTCTCCCACTCCTAGAAGACGACGGAGACGGATCCTCTGCTCGGTAGTAGTGGCTGCGGTCTCGGCTGCGGCTTCGACTCGAGCTGCGGCTCCGACTGTCCGAGCGACCACGGCTGCTGTAGTTTCGTTTACGCTTCCTGCTCCTTGAGGACTCCCGGGGACTTCGAGATCGACTTGTGCTTCGGCTGTTGCTGCGACTGGCGCGTTCACGATGGCCGTTGCGATCGGATTTACGCTCCCGACGGTCGAAGTAGGACGGATCGCGGTAGTAGTCGACGTCTCGAGCGCTGTGACGCTCGTAGCTCCGTTCTTCTTTGTCGTAGTTGGAAGATCTGTCTCGAGAGGAGCCGTACTTGTCGTCTCCCCGTCTGCGTTCCCGATACCGATCACTCGACCCGTAGTCCTCGTAGTCGTATCGATCGCGACGATCTCCACTACGCGGTCGGCTCTCGTCTCGCTCATACTTGACCGTCGCTTCTCTCCCCCTTCCATAGCGAGAGTCGCTACCACTGCGACTGCGACTCCGACTGCGCCGTTCGTAGTCGCGACTGTATCGATAGTCTTCAGCACGGCCGCCAACTTGCGTTGTTTCCACCTTGATACGTGGCTCGTTGCCATCTCTGTACGATCTTGAATTGATTCCGCGTCTCGACCGACTGTCACTGCCATTCTTCTTGCCACTTTTCGCCCATTCTTTCGAGTCCTCCTCCGTCTTTTTGGTAAATTCCGCCTCGTTCAGGATACTCGAGGGATCCAGTCGTAGACCTCCCAGTTGGGGGTTGAATGCCAGCTTCAATTTCGCAGCCTCGTCGCCTTCTAAGTCACTTGCTGACTTGACCAGCGCATCAAATTCTGCCTGTTGACTCTTTTTCCATCTCAGAAGTACTCGGTAGCTTCGCAGTGCATCCCCTAGCAGAAAGAAGAAGAAAAAACGCAATAAGAACCGAGAAGGTGCCGTGGGTGCAACACGAGGGAACGTACTTGCTGTCCGCTCGTTGAAAGTGCGTCCTTCTACGCTCGGACTGCACCACTTAAACTTGAAGTCTTTGCCTTTGTTCCACGTCGCGATGTACGCCGCTGCCTCACCAAGCAGCTGCGGAGAAATATCCACACAAACTGGCAGGAAAAATCTACAGACACTCAAGCGCAACACCGTTAGTCATCGTCAGACTCGCTTCTTCTCTTAATCTCACGTACAATTCCTCGAGAGCTGTCTGCGCATCTTCTTTAATGGAGTCTCGGACTGCAGAGACAGTTGAATACCGTTAGTCGTGTTGCTAGCAAGACGAGATACAGCAGACACGTACATTTCTCCGGCATCTTCTCGAGCACTCGACGGAGATAGTAGAAGGGCATCTCCGTTGTCAGCTCAAAGTTAATTCCCTGGAGCACTTCCATCTCGTAGTAGAGCAGCTGCACCCGCTCGATCTCCAGCAGCTCCTCGTCGCCAGCAAACAGCGGCGTCTCCAAGATGTCGTACATGACTCGCACCATACGCAGCAACTTCATCCGCTTGCTGGACGCCTTGGCCGAGAGGAAAAGACAAGCTGCGGCGAATTTGTAGCGCTCTCGAGCGTAGATGCCGCGATTGAAGACGCGATGGAAGAAGATGCAGGCAGTGAGCGCAATGTCGCTGCTCAGTCCAAGACACTGCGACAGGATGTCGATAAAGGCAATCGCGGTGTAGCGCCAGTGCTGCTTCTCCTCCGGTTTGCTGTCGAAGTTGTGGCGCTCGAAGACCAGCGGGCAGTTGGACCGATCGAGTTGCAGCTGTGGAGTACTTGGACGCGGCAGTTCGAACGACTGAAGCTGGTCAGGAGCCTCGGCCTGTCGTTCCGATTCGCTGCGAGGCAGCGGCACGGGAGCCCTTCGAGGCTTGCACTCTCCCATCACGAGACCCTTCCAGGCCTTGATCTTCCTTGGATAAAGCTTCAGTTCTTCCCACCGGGCCAGAGTCTGTTCAGTAACCACAAGAAGAGCACAGGCATCAGTCCTTCATAATCCACAGGGCAATCAATACAAAACAGTCACTTCACCTTGAACACCCTTTTACAACAAAACTTAATCTCGTTTACAATTTAACTCAGGAGACGGTACAGAGGTCCTTCTCGTTATGCGCAGTAAGGTAGGATTCATCTCCTGCAGGTCC